CGATGACGCGATCGGCGATTACGGTGTGGGCGACACTGCAAGTGCATATCCACATTGAGCTACAAAGGTCAATTTGTTACCAAAATGTAAGCAAGATATCTCGTGACAGTGTCGTTCCTGGAAATTTATAACGAAGTTATTAAAGACCTGCTCAACCCATCGGATAAAGTGCTCAAGATCCGCGAACACCCTGACATGGGCATATATGTGGAACAATTAGCAGAGCTAGTCGTACGCGATCCAGCAGATGTTACAAGGCTACTGGAACAAGGCAACAAAGTGCGGCAAGTGGCTGCCACTCAGATGAACGAGCGCAGTTCTCGCTCTCATAGCTGCTTTACTATCAAAATATCGTCCAAACGTTCTCAAGTGATGGCTGGAGTACGTAAGGAGACGTGTATGAACGCCAAGATCAACCTAGTGGATCTCGCAGGCTCAGAACGTGCCTCCAAGACCGGTGCTACTGGTGATCGACTCAAGGAAGGTGCTGCAATTAACAAGAGTTTGAGTGCATTGGGCAATGTGATCAACATGTTGGCTTCTACCGATAAAACACGCAAGGGCAAGGCACATATTCCATACCGAGACTCGAAACTTACGCGGTTGTTACAAGAGTCTTTGGGTGGTAACTCGCTCACTGTTATGATTGCAGCCATCTCTCCAGCTGATTACAACTACGAGGAGAGTTTGAGTACGCTGGTGTATGCAAACCGAGCCAAGTCAATTAAGAACGCAACTAAGAAGAACGAAGATATCAACGAAAAGATAATCCGTGAGTTACGAGAAGAAATCGAAAAGTTACGACAAATGGTGGCACGTCCAACGTCGGCTTCGAGTGGCAACCCGGAGATGATGGGACAGATGGAGGAGACTATTGCCAACCTTGAGCGTGCTAAACAGCAGTCGTGGGAAGAAAAACAACGACTAACTGAGCTTTATGAACACGAGAGACAGAACTCTCTTGCCAATGAGAAGAAGATCCTTGGCTTCATGCAGACGGTTAAGCAGGAGAAGATGGATATTATGAAGAAGATTAAACTCTTGCAACAGAAGAAGGCGCAGTTATCCAAGGAGATGCGTGTACGGAAGCAAAGTTACGTCGATAACAAGAGTAAATTGCAGCAAGGAGTCCAAGCTTTCCAGCAAATGAAGACGGAGACTCCGCGCGAGAAACAGCACTTGATGGAGGAGATTGAGTCTCGCAAGTCTCTGTTGATCACTGATCGCGATGAGTTGTCGCGTCTTAAGGAGGAGCTGAAGCTTTGTGAAGAGAAATTGGTGGAGGAAGAGGCTGAAGTAGCTGCCAAGAGCGCGTTATTGGAGGAAGACGACAAGCTGCGTAAAGCCATTCAAGATGATGAACGCGAGAAGATGAAGCAAGAGCGTGCAGCGTATTTGCAGTCTGCACTGGACGAGGAGCGTCAGCGCTTTCAGCTAGAAGCTGACAACGA